GTGTATGCGTTCCAGATGTGTATGAACAAGTTGGAAAGACGTATTATTGATTCTTACATACCACGTAATCGAGCAACAATGTTTTTGTAATAGTCTAATTGGAAATGCTGCGTATTTCAAAAGTGAAGCAATCAATCAATCAATATAATCTATGCTGTACATCGAACATCTCGTCATTTGATATCATGTAAGCTCATCTATTACATGTACACTTAGGCAAGTTGAAAGAAGCTCGCTCTATTCCAAAAATGAGAGATGACGTCAGAAAAACAAGGGACTGAAACAGGCATCATATGTAAGCTGTCGAATGAAAGGAAGAAAGTCTTTATTTTTTGGAATACGTTGTTTTTCTAACGGTACCTTTATTTACAAAACACTTTAAATAAAATTTGTCTTCGTGTTGTTATCAATTCGTTATTCCCATCTAATTAATAGCTTATAATCCTCATTCTACGTCGATAAGTAGATTTTCCATGCTTATTTCGGATTCGTAGTAATATACATAATACATATGTACCTGCAGAACATTCTCAGAGCTAAGCGTTTATCCGTTGTTTATCCGAGACAAAGTGAAAATTCATCGCGCTTTTTTGTTCCTTTCTGAATGCGTGTGTAATCAGTAAGGAGTTATCGCTTCACTATTGATGCTATTGTAATTCATATAGCAAACATTTTTTTTCCAAATTGAATGATGTATGGATTGCAGTTTCTTAACAGAGAAAAGATGATTTTAAAAAGGAAAGAAACAGTTTTGTTATTGTTGTAAAAGAAAATTTATTCGAAAAGATCAAACACCCTGGATGAAAAACATCAGACAATAGTAGTATAGAGCGATTGTTTATACGGCGTCAAAAGAACTTGGATCGTGGGATCGTGACGTCACAGAAGGTGAATTGGATCCGCCTACTTCCGGAGATACGGAGACTTGAGTCATGGGAGAGCCACGTAGTCCTATGAGTCATAGACTGTCATACAGTTAATACGTTGACGTTTGATAATCCTGACGAAATTACAAATGAAATGTTGACGTCACAGAAGGTGAATTTGACCCGACTACTTTTACGGCGCCAAAAGACCAAGGATCGAAGGATCGTGACGTCTAAGAAGGTGAATTGGACCCGCCTACTTCCGGATACGTGGATACGTGGGTCATGGGAGAGCCACGTGGTCCTATGAGTCAGATTAATATGACGTCTGGACCCGCCTACTTCCGGAAACGTTGAGATGTGATTCATGGGAGAGCCACGTAGTTCTATGAGTCATATAGACTGTCACACAGTTAATAGGCAGAACAGTACAAATCGCAAATTGATGAAAGGTATTATATGTAAAAGTATATACAAATCTAATACTCTGGGCTAAAACATCACCAAATAAAACACTTACGTTGGAAAGCGTCAACATTTGACCAAACGAAACCCACTTCACCAACATTTAGCCATCACAATGGAAAGTTTGACCACTTCATCAAATATAAAAGTCAAATTTGAAAGTTTGACCACTACACCAAATATAACTATTACAATGGAAAGTTTGACCATTACATCAAATATAACTAACACATGATGTCCGATGTACTTATTATGTAGGCAATATCTGTATATTTCCAAACAATAAAATTTAATTTGTATGTAATATACTACATATGTTATATTTTTTAAACATCCGAAGTCATTGGTAACGGTCAGATGCGCGGTGTCATATCATTGCAATGTAGTATACAAGTGTGCCGTTGAAATAACGCAGTGAATCAGACACACTTGGTGTTTCCTTTTAGGGGATGTGATTTTAGGTTCTGCTGAAGAGGGGTTTCTTATTTTTCTTATCTTATTTACGTCCTGTTTATTTTCTATCTGAGTCTTCAGTCCTCCATTGATAACTATAACTTCAATCATGTCATGTGATAATTAGTTTTATGCACTCGTGTATATACTACTACACATGTACATTTCTGTATAATGCTGCACATTGAACGGAAACGTGTGATAAGTACATTGCAATATATATAACTATTAACAATGACTATTGAGTTATGCATTGTGTATATTGAAATAAATTGACGTGACCTTATACACACATTACACATGTAAAAACGAAAGAAATATGTGATACATCTGTATTCAAAATCTTTCATTTTCAGATATATATTTTATTTCTGAACAAACGTTGTGCTGTTTTGTGATAATACATAGGATACTATCAAATTCGTACTACTGGTCCAAGAATTAGTGTATGATAATATATATCCAGAAATGTATGACCGGATATTTAAGACGACAATATATCTTTATTCTTATGATATGAGCTCCAATTCCTTAATAAAAGGCGAATGTCGATATAAACATATCGTTGTTACCCAATTTCGACCTCCGCTTTTTATATATATATATATATGTATTGAGGGGGGATAGATGTCAGTAACCAAGATGAAATGTAATGATGATGAAATCGTGAGAATTCTTCAATTCCTGATCGAAGGTATTTCCAGCAGACTGTTGGTATTCCAATTTCATATAAAACTAAATGAATTAGGGAAATTTTAAGGACAGGTAAAAAGAAAACTTGTCAGTTCTCTTAATTTCATTTTCATACATAACGAAGATGTGCTGTCTTTAAACAAATAACGATTCGATCGTGAAGGTTTCTTTTCTTGACAGCTGCATCCCTGCTTCCCTCACCTAGTTTGAAGCCCAGCTGCGTAATCTCAGACCTACTTACAGCAACATTTTGAAGACGCAGGTTAAGTTTTATGGCCCTTACCTCGGAATCCGAAAGTCTAACCTTTTTGAAATTTAACATGATTATACAAGGTGATATGCACAAGTGCAATAGGGATTTAAAAAGTGCTTAAGGTTGAGGTCAATATTACAGTTTCTAAATATAGAGCAAGGGGGTACATGTACGCTCCTTATCTCGGAATTCAAATGTTCTTCTTGAAATTTTACATGGTGATACACTGTTATGTAGATGTGCATTAGGGGTTTAATTTGTTCGTAAGGTCAAGGTCACTGTTACTAAGATAGCCCTACTAAGATAGCCCGGGTGGTTTTTCCTTATCTCGGAATCAAAAGGTCTCATCTTTCTGAAATTTTACATTGTGATACAATGTGATAGTAAAATGTGCACTAGGCAGGGATTTAATCATATTCATAGGTAGATCAAGGTCACCCTTACTGAACACAAAAGGGGAGAGGGGGGTATTGTTACAGTCCTTAATTCGGACAGATATTTTACAAATTTGGAATAGGGATACACTGTGATATGCAGATGTGCAATAGGGGTTTTAAACGTTTTTAAGGTCAAGGTAATTGTTACTTAAAAAATTCAGATCCTGTGCTCAAATACACTTTCACGTTAAGTGTAAGAAGTGTTAAATCCATAAAAAGTCACATTCTATCACTAATTTGGAAGAATTGTGGTTTGGAAGAAATGTGGAGAGATGTACATGTACAGCCATATTCCGTTTTCAATATTTCCATTGGACTATTTTATTTTGACACACATAAACTGTGTGACACAAGTTGCTAATTAAATTGTGAATCGAAAGGCTTAAAGACCGCCGGAACGCCACGGTATAATCTTTGCACAAAGGATGTACGTCTCGAGTAGATCGTATACTGTATTATCTCGAAATACATCTTTCGAATCGATTTAAAATCCTAACAGTCATCATTCAGTTAGTAATTTCGTCAGGATTCAAACGTCAACGTATTAATTGTGTGATAGTCTATGACTCATAGGACTACGTGGCCCCCACCCACGCAATGACAAGGCCTTTCTCTGACGTCATCATTTTGTAATTTCGTCAGGATTATCAAACGTAAACGTATTAACTGTGTGACAGTCTATTACTCGCTCTCCAATAACTCACGTCTCCGCGTCTCCGGAAGTAGGCGGGTCCAATTCATCTGTGACGTCACGATCTTATATATATGATCCACGTTTTTTTGGCGCCGTATAAACAATCGATATATACTGCTGACAACACCCCGATTGAAATATAGAGCCGAGGTGAGAAATTGTGTCGGGTGAGAAATCGTGTCGCCTATGCCCATATAGATTGCAAAATTTCTCACCCGGGTGAGAAATGTGTCGCGAACGCAGCAATTTTGCACGATTTCTCACCCGGGTGAGAAATTTTGCAATCTATATGGGCATAGGCGACACGATTTCTCACCCGACACAATTTCTCACCTCGGCTCTATATTTCAATCGGGGTGTTGTCAGCAGTATATATCGATTGTTGAGTATATATCGGGTGAGAAATCGTGTCGGGGTGAGAAATCGTGCCGTAACACATGTCTCATCTCAGTGAGTGCCACGAACAATAGGTCTCAGGGATGAAATATTGTTGTCCTGAAAGTGGCCCTCGGAAGAAGATCCGTAAAATGCATCCATTGTAAACAAGTAGTGTCTCCCACCGAAATTGATGTGTTCAAAGCACAGCAGTTACAACGAAAGTAACAAACATAGATAAGTGGATCAGAATAATTAACATCAATTTAGAGATTTCAAATTTTACACCGTGTTAAGAATTCGTTTAGTGAGATGCTAAATCAGCTTTTGGAAATTTGTTCTTGGTTAAATTGATCCTTTATCGGCAGTATTGTCACGTCAGCAATGCATAGAGCCTGTAACATCAACATTTCATTATGTGTATGACAGGGTCGTCAGGGTAAGAGAAAAAACAGGTTAGACGGGGAATCGGTGAATCCCGACCCTCGGGGTTTTAGATTAAGTCTCATTTTAGATTTTGTTTACCAGAAATTTAAGTGCTCGAGCATTAACACAATAAATAACCGAATTGTCTACTAACGAGATAAATATCTCGGCAAAAGTATCTTGGAAAGTTCAGACATATGTCGATAAAATATATGAATTACATTTACGTTGACGTAAACTATGAATATGTCGATCAATCATATATCAATACAAAAAAATTAATGTTAAAAGATTTTTTTTTTTTTTTTTTTTTTTTTTAAAAAATTTTTTTTTTTTTTTTTTTTTTTTATCAAACAATTGTTTAAGGGAAGGAAATTCCGCTAAAGGCTTTATTTAGAATCAATATTCATTGGAAAACCTGTCTTCATTGGTTTTTGAGAACTGTTCATATGTTTAGGAATCGACCAATGTGGTTGCAAGAACTTATCAAGTATATCATAAAGACAAATGCTCTTTATAGACAGGTTTCAATGTATATGTACACGTGTAAGGTACTGTGTATCCTCAGTCGATTAATCACAGTTCACATACGAATCTAAATAGCTGTGAACAGGGATAGTCATGCCATCCTCCTGGAACATATGCAACGACACAATCTTCGTAATCGGTATTTGGCTGTCCTGGGTTCCAATTGGTATAGGTGTCATCCAGTAGAAGGTCATTTTCGATCCAAGCGTACTTGTTATCCGTCTTTGTCCTTCTGGCGCCTATCCACACTGCACCTAATGAACATATTAAACATTACCATAGTCATGTGATGTAATAAACATAAACTAGTAAAGAATAGAAAATAGAAGTGTGTGTTTATATTATACAATAATGTAACACACTGACCGGGCATGTTATTTGAGGAATGGCGTAATTGGAACAAAGAAAGTTAGCACAGTAGAGCTATCCTTACGACGAATGTTTCGTTTTCTCCAAAAGAATGAACAATATGTCTAATTGCACAAGAATTCAACTCTGCCCCAAGCCCCTTCGAAAAATCTGCGAGATCACGTTACCACCACACTTTGAGCTAATGGTGGCAAGTCACTTTTTAATTTGTCTCATACGGTTCCTGAAATGATAAGTTTTGTTTCATTTTTTTCGGCAGTCTGTTTCGGCATCCCAAACTGACAACATCAGTGTGCTCCAACACAACATCAGTGTGCTCCAACACAACATCAGTGTGCTCCAACACAACGTCAGTGTGCTCCAACACAGCATCAGTGTGCTTCAAGACAACATCAGTGTGCTCCAACACAGCATCAGTGTGCTTCAATACAACATCAGTGTGCTCCAACACAACATCAGTGTGCTCCAACACAGCATCAGTATGCTTCAACACAGCATAAGTGTGCTCCAACACAACATCAGTGTGCTCCAACACAACATCAGTGTGCTCCAACACAGCATCAGTGTGCTCCAACACAGCATCAGTGTGCTCCAACACAACATCAGTGTGTTCCAACACAACATCAGTGTGCTCCAATACAACATCAGTGTGCTCCAATACAGCATCAGTGTGCTCCAACACAGCATCAGTGTGCTCCAACACAACATCAGTGTGCTCCAACACAACATCAGTATGCTCCAACACAACAATGAATAATTCTTATTGTTGTCTGGAGACACCAGGCACGTAATGGATATCAACTACGTGTTCCATAGGGAAACCACGAGAGTTACAAGTATGTAAACATTAGTCGACGAGAGCAGAACTTACGATATATACTGAAACTAACCAAGTTACTTCATATTCATCCCGAAAGCTCGAGTGTTATTCATAAATTAGAGATACATGAACAGCGGCCTTCATCTATGATCAGGCAGTCAGTGAAAATGTATACAGACAGGATGTTTCGAGTAAACCAAAAGGACGGTTGTTTCCGATTAGGTCCCATTGGGTACATAAAAGGATTGAAGGATGTTTCTGTATTCCTTAAAAAACGGATTTCGGTTTTCCGGGCACTTTGAGGACATAAAGATGTTTTTGTGTCCCTCAGGAAAATAGAGCAATTCCACGAGTCTTTACCGGGTCCTTTGACGGAGATAAACAAATTTCCTGTTCCTTTTTGGCCGGCTAGGATATTGTCATGCATGGATTCGCCAGACAAAGTGATGACATGAGCCCCCGACAGCCCGACAAGTCCGTACCCCCTACGAGGACGAATTCCTTACCATGGCCGTTACTTACTTCGATCTTTTACTATGAAGTCTTGCTTATCCTGGCTCATCACGGATACAAGGTTCGCTCCCACCAATTGACACCTGTCCTGATGGTTCAATTAAAATGTATAACACATAAAATAGAAATGATCATGGTTAACAAAAAATATGATTTGCCTTAATAGCAGAGTTAAGATAATTGTCTATGTGTAATTCAAACGTATGCAAATTTTGGCGGCCATCTTGATTTAGTGAAAACATTAATCGAATATTACATATAAAGTAAGACTTCTGAGATGCTATAAATCTTGTCAAATCCGCAATGACATTTAACACATACTGGCCTGAATAAACTGACATAAAAATGCAGGATTCTTTAATAAATATGTTCAAACAGGATACTTCCATTAAAATTACATAAGCATAAGACATCATGGTAAAAGAAAGAAAGATAAGTCAGCTTAATAACACATAGGCAATACTCAGCATCATCGGTATATATTTACATTTGGTGCGGAAAAGCCCTTCTATATTACTACTAAAGTACTGCCAATAGCAGCTTCATCTTATGAGACTATAACTGAAGTTGGTCTTTGCACCTCCGAGCGACTTAACAGTGTCACTACCGAACTTATCGGTATCTTCTGCTTTGATCCCTAACACCAGCTGCCTGTCTCAAATGTGTGTGAGATCAACAAACAATTTTACGCCTGGATTTTTCACCAATTCAACCTTCTCCGGTTGCAGGATCAACATCAACAACATGCCGGACCGCACCATTCAGTTTGTCTGTGACACATGTGGCAGTTATACCAGTTGGTCTGCCACATCTATGCAGTTTATTGCTTAAATAATTACAACACAGCGTACCTTCGAAATTTGAGAATTCGGAAATATTTTTTAAAAGGAAGTGGATAAGATACATATCGAGGAATTACACTTATAGTTCACTTACTCTAGCACATTTTTGAAACAGCAATATGCATAGCAAAATGACCCAAACAATTATCATAACGAAGTGAAATAACAATGCAGTATTGAGGCTAGGCAGGGTATTAGTTGGAACTATAGGCAAAGTTTGTGAGCTGTAGCATTTGTACTTTCTCAAAACGGATGTTTATTATCTGTTTTTCTTGTTTATATATGCTTTTCTGAGTTTGTGAAGGAGTTTTACCAAGAAAACCGTTTGAACACCACTGTCGTAAATTCAAACTTTTTAACAGCAGGTGTACAAGTACTACATGTCCTTAGAAACCTGGAGTATGGTGGGGTGTTTTTTTTCCACCGTGATATTATTATATACATTTGTGCAATTGATATTAATTATTATAATTAATATCATGTATTATATATAGTGTCAAATGTAAATTTTATAAATAAAATAATATATTATTTATCAAATTTGCATGTCACTCTACAGTGTGTTTTTTCTGTAAATGTAAAAAAATGTTTGTGATAATATATATAACTCATTACTATTATTATATTATGTTATTGTTATTATATATACTTGTGTTTGTCGCAGTATTAACTCTCAAGAGCTAATGCTTCCACGTAAATATGTGTGCGACTTTAAATAAAGCTTCTTGTTTCTTTTACTACCTGAGCGTTGGACCAGTTCAAACTCTGTCTCACGAACAGATAACATCGATCCTCAAAGACATGTACAGTCGCGTTGTCTCCCACCTTTTCTGAAATAGCAAAAAAAGCCTATGTCTTGATGTTTTATTGTATTCACATTGACGTACATATCCATGTAGGTACATTAATATCACAAGCCTCTCGATTCAATGTCATTCTACTTTTACAGCTAGACACAAACAGTTTTCAATGTTCCATTTTTATTTTTATTCAGAACGATGATAATCAGACAAATTTATGTAAATAGAAGCAATATAAGATGGTTTTACTGTGTACGTAAAAGTAATTATTCTCGGCTCATTGATTACCTTGTTTTCTCATGCTAACGAATATCTCGACCATAAAGTGCATGATGTCGCTTCTTTATCTTAGGTATCCGATGAAATGACGTACCGCTAACGTGATTGGTCAGACTTTGCATGGTATTGAAATTAGAAATTTGTCTTTCGATGATAATTTTTACACACAGACACATTCATGTATTAAAGTTAAGGTAAAGAAAGGTGGTATTCAATATATTTACCAATAAATTCACATAAATGTATTTTCTTTTAATTAAGCGAAAATTTAGATATAAGATTTGCTTAAATTGGTATGTTTTCAGGGGAAATCTCAAAACCTGTACTTTACAAACTGAAAGGAGCAAGAAACGCAGGTTAACACAATATGCAACATTTATTTAACTGCTTGGCCTACAATTATTAAAACCAGTCAGACGAGTATATCGATCACTGTGCTGACGGAAGTTCAGAGGGGCCAGGCTATTGCATTGCTAATGACAGGTCAAAGGCAACAACAGGTTGCTATGCAGTTCGGTGTGAATGTTTCCACCATAGAACGACTTGTCTGTCGTCTGAGAGACACCGGAAGGGTTGCCGACAGACCGCGATCGGGACCTCCTCGCGTAACGACGCGACGTCAAGAGATAGCTATTCGTCTCGCTCACCTGTGCGCGTAATCGCCACGTTACTGCTACTGAAACAGCTATTAATACGGTAGGCATCATAATCACCACCTTCAACCCCAAACTGTAAGGTACCGACTGCGCGAGATTGGTCTCCAAGCAGATCGTTCTTACGTACGTCTGCCTCTCACTCGTGCACGCCGTATGGTTTGGTTGGCGACACATGCAACCAGACGTTTCCAATGAAGCAATAGAGACGGGTCGTTTTCACAGATTTCTTGGTCCGGACGATCGACGTCGTCTATACCAACGTCGTCGGAAACGCTTTGACGACGCTTGCGTTTTTGAGAGTGACATGTTTAGGGGTGGTTCGGTTATGGTCTGAGGAGGAATATCGCAGGAGTTAAAGTCACCATTGTGGTAGCCAGGTAATTTATCGCCGTAAGATGTAGGGAGGAAATACACTGCCCGGTTGCAGTTCCATTTGTGCAACGACATCCCCCAATTTTCAAGCTAGATTTTTTTCTAATCGAANGGGTCGGGGGTCGGAATGTCCTCGCTAATCCCGACCAACGAAGGACTGCCTTGTTGGAAGAGTGGAACAATATTCCCATTAGAATGATAAATGCACTGATGAACTCCATGCACAAGAGAATGTAACCGATGCGCGAGAAGGGGCATACGAGATACTGACGTGTCAGTCGATTTCACTGTGCGATACCGTCAAATGTTCTTCAATAACTCAAAATCTAATGAAACTGTGTTTAAGGATACCTATAAAAATATTTTATATACCATTCAAATACATAACATTAAATCGCTGTAACTTATATATCGTAAGATAAGACGATATTTATTTAATATTAAACTATGTGTACGTGTGTCAATTATATGGCATATTACTGGCAAAATAATTTACAAAATAATAGTTATTTCTATTTTACGTATATAATGGGAATAAATTAAAAATTATATCAAAATTGTCAAGTTATTGTTTTTTATGGAACTTTTATTGCTCTCATTCATGAAAATTTGGGACATCATTCCACAGCCCGCTAGAGCAGGGTTGATTTACATGTCGGGCATATATAACCACAGGCTATCGCATGCCATGGTACATATGTCTGTCGTTCGCATGCCATGGTACATATGTCTGTCGTTCGCATGCCATGGAACATATGTCTGTCGTTCGCATGTGCACCTACACATACATTTTCTTGGGGATCTTGATATGTTACAAAATACTATTTTCACAGAGAAAGTGTACTGCAATTGTTAAAATGATACACTCGATAGAGCGTATAGTAACTCGCTCCGCAGCAACAGTCGTAACGACCTCGAACTTGTGAAATGGTGTTAGCACGTGATATGTACATGTCCGTCTCGTCTAGTCTCATGGCACTGTCTTCCTGTGAGTCATTTTATGTCTTTGTATCTGAACTTTCATTTCTGAAGTACATGTGATTACATATCATCGTCACGCATGTGTACTTTTGTTTACCCGGCGTTATTTTAATTTACACTACGGTACATATACTAAGATGCTCAATACGCAATACGGAAGTGCTGAATCGAAATAACGACCAGAAAAAAACTATGCATTGCGAAGGTTGGGAAGCCCTTAAGGTGGTTTACGCCCTACACTTTTGTTTTAAAAAAACACACTTGTCGTTTCACTTAAATATGAGGAGAACTTTAAACAATACCACTTTCTTGTTAGTTAAAAATGCATTAAACATGTTTATATCTTCATTTACATCACTATGACAAACAAAGTGTAGGTACTGATAAAAAGTCCGTTTTGCTGACATGGGAAGCAAAAGGTTAAACACATCTTCGAAATCAAAGGAGTCATGCTCTCTCCTGTTCTCTGACCGCTTGAATATGTCATGACAAATTTGAAGGCTCTGCTCTGTACTCGCCATCTTGAAAACATATACGAGTTTCCTAGTTTTATTTTAATTTGTATATTGAAAGAATCAATTAGCAGCATAACGGTACAATCGACATGCTTCCCCTGTATTCTTCAATGGACAGGTTTCAACCAAACGAGTGGTCAGATACGATCTTGTCAATATATATTCCAGGGTTTCAGAAAACGTACGTTGACCACTACAACATCAGTACCGCCTTCTTAAAGAGACTGCGACGGATCAATGGTCAGAGCTGCGGTTGTTTATGGGCTACGCGATTCGGTGTTGCAATCCTCTGGCAGTTGTTTTTCTATTGTTTTTATGTACAATATAATATTATGCGTGTTTGAACGCGGTGTATCACTTAGCTGTAAGATTATTACAGATTAAGTTTAGTATCAGGTGTCTGTTGGTACAAGTTGGAAATTTGACCACCCCTCTCCCATTGTGAGGAAATCCAGCTTCGAATTCCGCTCTAGCTACAAATATGAGTTCTACAATCACGGACTATGTCATGACGAAATCGTAAACTCGCCTGATGTCTTTGACGAAGAACGATGAATCGCGCGGAAGCGTAACGGTAAAATCGACAGATATTGAAAGTTTATGTAGTTCCTCCAGGACAGCCTAGCGATTGGTCAGATTGTTTTACCTAAAATCAATCAAATAGCTAGCCGTGTTTCTATTGTGTCATGAAATATTCGAGAGCAGAACCCTTGCAACGCGAGAATGGAGGTAATGGTCAGCAGTCGCATATCAACTCCGTATGCTTAAAGTAATGGAGTATAGACAAAAGAAATAGTGCGATCGTACAAACCTTCCATTCATGAATACAAACAATATATGAAAATGTTTATTTTACAACTATTATGAAATAGGTTATTTAAACTTAAATAAATCACTCTTGTTAGCTCAGATGTATGCTCACAGGAGTCTTGGAAAATTGGACACAACACAGGACACAGAAAGTAGTGGGTGTGCCACTAACAGGCTCAGGAATTATCGACTATTCAAGAACGTTTTAGTGGTCGAATCATATGATTGGTAAATTGTGCTTATATCTGGGCTTTGTTCCCTAATACAATTTTGTTGTGGAGTTGTCCTTTATGGTAGAGACAGGTCGTCATCAGAGTATTTACGTGGCAGGCCTTGTATACTGTCATTGTTTAGCGTCAGTAAGAGGTGGGAAATGACAGGTGTGACTGTCCGCTTTAACAGGACAGGTGTGATACAGTACATATGTAGGCGGATCGAATAGATAGGCTCTTTATAAACTGTTTTACCGTATCATAAGGACTGCACACCAGCGAAATTTTATCAGATCACAGAAAAATTAATTTTATACAACTAGCCAGTGTTCATTAATGTTTTATTTGACTAATTAAGAGGATTAGTATTGTCATGCGATGAGCGGATTTGATGTTAAAGAACAATAAGGACACACCCTTTGCTATAGATGTAATACATATAGGATCTTACATGAGTTTCCATGTCATTAGATTTATAAAACGTGTCTAAGAATTTATCAATCTGGCGAGTCTCTGGCGAGCTAAAATGAAACATTCTCAGACTCGTTTCACAAATCTCATATGAAATGGAAACGAGTATAATATCCTTTTTCTCACATAATCAAGATGTGTAACATTTATTTGTGTAAAAAAAGTCTTTATGCAACCTTGAAATGTAAAAAGCCGCCATGTTGACTTCAGTGCGAAAGTCTGTCACGTCATGTACTTGTCCTAGACGTGACGTCACAATTGAAACTTACCACCAATCACAGGGCTGATAGGTCATATTACATGGGTCAATACGCAAAGAATAAAACATGGGTATATTCACTAGAAAACACAGTACATTATGTGATAATACTCAGAACATTATGTGATAAATATGCAAGACCACACACTTGTGTTTTTCTAACGAAACAGAAAGCATGAGTTTATTCCGCGGACGTATATATTCACTCGTGCGCTCCGCGCACTCGTAAATATATACGTCCGCACAATAAATGAGTGCTTCCTGATTGAAAAACACAAGTGTGTGGTCATACCTTCCGTATTTGGTAGAGGTTGATACAACGATTTTATAAACTTTGATATTTTTTGCAAATACCGGAAACTTTTCAGTTCGCCATGACAAGGGGATTCCCATAAATAGTACATGTACATTGTAGTTCCGGCTGGTATGGTGATACAACAGCTTGTATCACACATGTGTTATACAAACCGACAGAAAACATCAACAGAAAATGTTGTATTACATGTTGTATTACTATTGTAAGATTACATAGGTATGTGATAAAACACAGAACATAATGTGATACAATACAGTACATAATGTGATAAAACACAGGACATAATGTGATAAAACACAGTACATAATGTGATAAAACACAGTACATAATGTCCAGCTTAACCAGGACATGTCTGTTCACCAGCTGGACAAGGATATGTCTGTTCACCAGCTGGACCAGGACATGTCTATTCACCAGCTGGACCAGGACATGTCTGTTCACCAGCTGGACCAGGACATGTTAAAACACAGAACATAATGTGATACAATACAGTACATAATGTGATAAAACACAGGGCATAATGTGATAAAACACAGTACATAATGTGATAAAACACAGTACATAATGTCCAGCTTAACCAGGACATGTCTGTTCACCAGCTGGACAAGGATATGTCTGTTCACCAGCTGGACCAGGACATGTCTGTTCACCAGCTGGACCAGGGCATGTCTGTTTACCAGCTGGACCAGGACATGACTGTTCACCAGCTGGACCAGGACATGACTGTTCACCAGCTGGACCAGGACATGTCTGCTCACCAGCTGAACCAGGACATGTCTATTCACCAGCTGGACCAGGACATGTCTGTTCACTAGCTGGACCAGGACACGTCTATTCACCAGCTGGACCGGGACATGTCTGTTCACCAGCTGGACCAGGACATGTCTGTTTACCAGCTGGACCAGGACATGTCTGTTCACCAGCTGGACCAGGACATGTCTGCTCACCAGATGGACCTGGACATGTCTGTTCACCAGCTGGACCAGGACATGTCTG